TTTGGGACCCTTGGGAGCCCTTTGGGACCTTTGGGTCCTCTGGGGAATTATTTTGGTCCTTTTGGAGCTGTTTTTTGGAACTGTATTTGTAATTTTCGAGCTATTTTTGTCCTTTTGGAGCTCTTTTTCTCTATTTTGGAGCTGTTTTTCTCTTTCTTGCAACTATATTTGTAATATTCGAGTTGTTTTTGTCCTTTTTGGAGCTCTAGTTCACCTTTTTGGAGCACTTTTTGTCTTTTTTTGCAACTCTTATTGAGCTTCTGGAGCTGCTGGGGTTTTTTTTTTGAGCTCTTTTTCTCCCTTTTGAAGCTCTTTTTGTCTTTTTTTAAAATTATTTTTGTCATCTTGGAGCTCGTTTTGTCTTTTTAGAGCTCTTTTTGGATGATTTTTCACCTTTTTGGAGCTTTTTTTGTCTTTTTTTGGAACTATTTTTGCAATTTTCGAGCTCTTTTTGTCCTTTTGGAGCTCTTTTTTGGAACTGTATTTGTAATTTTGGAGTTCTTTTTGACCTTTTTGGAGCTCTTCTTCTCTTTTTTGGAACTATTTTTGTAATTTTCGAGCTATTTTTGTCTTTTTTGAGCTCTTTTTGACCTTTTGGAGCTATTTTTGCACTTTTTTGAGCTCTTTTTCTCCTTTTTGAAGCTCTTTTTGTCTTTTTTTGAATTATTTTTCTCATTTTGGAGGTATTTTTGTCTTTTTAGCGCTCTTTTTGGATGATTTTCCACCTTTTTGGAGCTCTTTTTGTCATTTTTGGAGCTATTTTGGAACTTTTGGAGCTCCTTTTGGAGCTTTTTTAGATATTTTGGGGATATTTTTTACCATTTTCAAGCTCTTCTTGCCTTTTCTGGAACTATTTTTGTAATTTTCGAGCTATTTTTATCTTTTTTTGAGTTCATTTTGCAAATCTTTTTGACCTTTTGGAGCTATTTTTGCTCTTTTTGGAGCTCTATTTCACCTTTTTGGAGCTATTTCTCTTTTTTTGGAGCTATTTTTGTCCTTTTTGAGCTCTTTTTGCCCTTTTTGGAGCTCTTTTTCTCCCTTTCAGATATTATTTTGTCATTCTGGAGCTCACTCTGTCCTTTTGGAGCTCTTTTTCACCTCTATGAAGCTATTTTTGTCTTTTTTTTTGAGTTCTTTTTGACCTTCTGGAGCTCTTTTGTCTTTTTTGGAACTATTTTTGTTGTTTTTTTTGAGCTCTTTTTGACCTTCTGGAGATCTCTGACCTTTTGAAGGCTCTTTCTGGAGCTCTTTTTGTCTTTTTTGGAACTATTTTTGTCATTTTGGAGCTCTTTTTTTCTCCTCTTAGAGCTCTTCTTGTCATTTTGGAGGCTCCTTTTGGAGCTCTTTTTAACTTTTTGGAGTTATTTTTCTCCTTTTTGGAGCTATTTCTGTCTTTTTTGCAACTATTTTTGTAATTTTACAGCTCTTTTTGCTCTTTCAGAGATTTTTTTGGTCTTTTTTGGAGCTCTTTTCTCCTTTTTGGAGCTATTTTTGTCCTTCTGGAGTTTTTTTTCATCTTTTTTTCGAGCTCTTTTTGACTTTTTTGAGCTCTTTTTGACCTTTTGGAGCTCTTTTAGTCCCTTTTCGAGTTCTTTTTTCCTTTTTGGAGCTATTTTAGTCCCTTTTGGAGCTCCTTTTGACCTTTTGGAGCTCTTTTTCTCCTTTTTGGAGCTCTTTTTTTCCTTTTAGAGCTCTTTTAGTCCCCTTTGTAACTCATTTAGACCTTTTTGAGTTGTGTTTTTTTTACTTTTTGGGTTGTTTTTGTCCTTTCTGGAGGTGGGAATGAGCAGCTGGGAACCCCCCCCAGCTTCTGCAGCTCCTGCTCCCACATTCATTAATTATTTCCTCTAATTAAAACCCATTCTGGCTCTTCTTGGGAAAGCTTTTCCCAGCACCAAGTGGGAGCTGGAGGCTTTGGGTGTTGGGATCCAAGCTGGGAGTTCCTCCAGCTGCACCCAAAATATCAAAAATTGGGATTTCAGGGGAAACTGGAATTAGGGAAAGGTTTTGGAGGGGTGGAATTCCCAGCCTTGGATTTCCCAGGGCAGCTCCAGCCCCAAGGCCGGGCTGGGCAGGGCCTGGAGCACCCTGGGACACTGCAGGTGTCCCTGCCCCAGTGGTGGCACCTGTCCCGTGTCCCCCCAGCTGGATTCATCCACCTTCTCCACAGGAATGGCACCACTAAACCCCCCAAAAATCGGGAATGTGACGACTTCCAGAGCTTTCCAAGAGGCACAGCAGCAGCTGGGAGCAGGGAAAAGCCTCCACTACTCCAGCTTTACTCACACCCTGCTCCTGGTGCAGAACTGCCAGGCTGCACGTGGCCAAAAATAAAATTTAAATAATTAAAAATAAAAAAAATAAAATAAAATAAAATTTAATTTAATTTAAAAAATAAAATAAGATAAAATAAATTAAAATAAAATTAAAATAAAATTAAAATTTAAAAAATCAAAAAATAAAATAAGATAAAACAAAAATAAAATAAAATAAAAATAAAATAAGATAAAAAATAAAATAAAAATAAGCTAAAATAAAATAAAATAAAAATGAAATAAAAATAAAATTAAACTAAATTTAAAAAATAAAGATAAAATAAGACAAGATAAAATAAAATAAAAATAAAATAAGATAAGCTAAAATAAATTAAAATAAAATTAAAATAAAAGAAAAATAAAGTAAATTTTAAAAAATAAAATAGAATAAGATAAAATAAGATAAAATAAAATAAAATAAAAATAAAATAAGATAAAATAAAATAAAATAAGATAAAATAAAATAAAATAAAACAAAATAAAATCCAAAATCCTCTCCCCACAAAAACCACCCCCAGCTTTTCCCTGGCAAAGGAAAGGGAGGAGGAGGAGGAGGAGGAGGAGGGGGATGAAGAGCTGAGTGTCACACAGGTGTCACCCCCTGTCTCACCTCCTGCTGTTTCTCCTCGTTGGGATAGGTGTCCACGAACACGCCCAGCCCCAGGAAGTTGTCCTTGCTCCCAAACACAGGTCCTGGCAGGGAAGAGGAGCCGGTGGGAGCAGGCTGGGACACTCAGCTTTGTGTCACCAGGGAACAGGGACCACCCAGCCCCAGCCCTGGGGAGACTGCCCACGGGGTCAAGGTGGCCCCAACGTGTCCCCCAGGTGTCTCAGGTGTCCCCCAGGTGTCCGAGGTGTCCCCAAGGTGTCTCAGGTGTCCCCAAGGTGTCCCCACAAGCCCTGCCCAAGATGTCCCCAAGGTGTCCCAGGTGTCCCCAAGCCCTGTTCAAGGTGTCTGAAGTGTCCCTAAGATGTCCCCAAGGTGTCCCTCAGGTGTCCTAGGTGTCTCCAAGCCCTGTCCCAGGTGTCCACCAGGTGTCTCAGGTGTCCCCTAGGTGTCCCCCAGGTGTCTCAGGAGTCCCCCAGGTGTCCCCAGGGTGTCTCCAAGCCCTTTCCCAGGTGTCCCCAGGTGTCCCCAGGGTGTCCCCCAGGTGTCTGAGGTGTCCCAGGTGTCCCCCAGGTGTCTGAGGTGTCCCAGGTGTCTCAGGTGTCCCCCAGGTGTCCGAGGTGTCCCCAAGCCCTGTCCCAGGTGTCCCCAGCGTGTCTCCAAGCCCTGTCCGAGGTGTCCCCAGGTGTCCCCTAGGTGTCTGAGGTGTCCCCAAGGTGTCCCCCAGGTGTCCCCTAGGTGTTCCCCAGGTGTCCCCAAGCCCTGTCCCAGGTTTCCCAGGTGCTCCCAACGTGTCCCACAGGTGTCTGAGGTGTCCCCCAGGGTGTCCCAGGTGTCCCCAAGCCCTCTCCAAGGTGTCCCAGGTGTCCCCAGGGTGTCTCCAAGCCCTGTCCCGAGTGTCCCCAGGGTGTCCCCAGGTGTCTCAGGTGTCCCCAGGGTGTTTCCAAGCCCTGTCCCAGGTGTCCCCAGGGTGTCCCCAGGTGTCTCAGGTGTCCCCAGGGTGTCCCCAAGCCCTGTCCCAGCTGTCTCAGGTGTCCCCCAGGTGTCCCCAAGCCCTTTTCCCGAGGCAGGGCTGCTTTGTACCTGGCTGCATCCTGTCCTTGGTGTACCAGATGGCGAACCCGTCTCCGTTCAGGTTCTTCTTGCCCTGCCCGTGGATTTTGAAGTGCACCTGCATCTCCCAGTCCCGCAGGTAGCAGGGCTGGGAGAGGGGAGGAAAGGTGGGAAATTTGGGCATGGTTCCCTCATTCCCTCACCCACATCCACCATTCCCTGTGCTCCCCTCACTGTCCAATGATCAGGGATAATTAATCCCAAAATACCCATCATTAATCCCAGGGAATTGGTTGTCACCCAAGGGTTGAACACCAAGGGAGTGACTCCAACAAAATCAACGCTCCCACCCGGGAGAGCAGCAGCAAAACCTCAGGAGCAGCTGCTAATTGCGATTATTAATTAGCTGCCAATTAATTCCCTGAGCTGAGGGAGTCACAGGGGATTTTTGGGAGCCAGAATTCCAAGGAAAAGGTTTCATTCTGTGTTTTAGAGCAACGAGAGCTGAGCTCAATGATTGTTTCCCAAACCAATGTGGAGGGGGTTGGATTCTGAAATCCAGAGATTTCATCAAATCATGGAACTCTTTGGGTTGGAAAACATCACCCAGTTCAAGGCCCCCCAAATTCCCAGGGGGGCTCAACTCTTGGATGGAAAACTGGGAACAGAAGGGCTGAGAGTTCCTCATGGTGCCCCCAGCCCACCCCAATTCCCGCTTTGGGAATCCCATTCCTACTTTGGGAACCACCTTGGCCCAGACCCCCATACATCCCCATCCCAATCCCCAATCCCCATCCCCTCCATGTCTCTACAGCCCCCCAGAGCACCCCCCAGTGTCGGGTACCCCACTCTGGTCTCCTCCAGCCTCCCCCCCTTATCCCAGTGCCTTTCCTGATCCCAATCTTATCCTGGCCCAATCCCAACCCTCTCTTCCAGCTCCACTTCTCCCCATTCCAGCGACCCCTTGATCCCAAATTTCTGCTCCAAATCCTGACCCCCTTCACCAGCTCCCCCAAACCCATCCCATCCCACTGATCCCATCCCATCCACCCCTTCCCAGTGATCCCATTGATCCCAATTCTCCTACTGATCCCATTGTTCCCATTGATACCATTTATCCCATCCCAGTGCCCTCCTCACTCCCAATTCCCTTTGCCCTGATCCTGACCCTGTCATCTAGCTCATCCCATGCCATCCCATCCCCATCCCAACCCATCCCACTGATCCCATCCCATCCATCCCACTGATCCCATTGTTCCCATCCCATTGTTTCCATCCCATCAATCCCACTCATCCCATTGCTCCTATCCCAACGTCCACCTCAATCCCGGCCTTTTCCCATCCTAATCCCACATCCTCTCCCTCAGCCATCGTGTCCCTCTCCTTATCCCAGTATCCTCCGAATCCCGATCCCCTCCTAACCCTAACCCAGTCCTGATCCCAATCCTGATCCTCTCTCTCTCCTAACCCTAACCCTGCCCTGGTTCCTGATCCCAATCCCAACCCTCTCCTGCCCTGCTCCCTGTCCTGATCCTGATCCTCTCCTTTTCCTAACCCTAACCCAGTCCTGATCCCAATCCTGATCCTCTCTCTTTCTTAACCCTAACCCTGCCCCGGTCCTGATCCCGAACCTGTCCCCCCATCCCATCCCATCCCATCCCGGTGTCCCCCCAGTCCCTGCCCCCGCCTGTCCCAATCCCAACCCCGCTGTCCCCTTTCACCCGGTATCCTGCCTCGGTCCCGGTCCCCTCCTGTCCCGATCCCGGTCCTGATGTCGATCCTAACCCTCTCCCCTCACCCTTCCCATCCCATCTCGGTGTCCCCCCAGTCCCAGCCCCTGCCTGTCCCAATCCCAGCCCTGTCCCCTTTCATTCCGCTGCCCCATGCCGGTCCCGGTCCCCTCCTGTCCGGACCCCGACCCTCTCCCCCGGCCCATCCCGGCTCCCCTCCGCTGCCGACCCTCTCCCCGGTGCCCCCGCTCACCACTCGGTTCCACACGGCTCCCTGCTTGCTCTGCACGTCGGGGGTGAGGCGGATGAACTGGGTCATGACCATGGCGTTTCCCAGCAGGTCCCACAGCCCCGAGCTGGCCGAGCCCACACCTGCGGCCCACACGCACCGTCGGTACCGGACACCGGCACCGGGCACCGGGCACCGTCCGCAACCACCGCCCGCCCTCCCCGCTCACCCTGGTACGGCTTGGACAGCGAGTGCTCGCGTTTGAGGTGCTCCTCGGTCTGCTCGGCCCCCGTCCCGCCGAGCCACAGCACCACGGCCAGCAGGGCCAGCCCGGCCCGCCACCGGCCCGCCGCCGCCATCTTCCCGCCCCGTCCCGCGCCCCGCCCCGCGCACCCATTGGCTGAGTCCCACCGCTGTTCCCGCCCTTTGGCGAAGCTGCCAGTGATGATTGGTCAAATGAGCTGTCTGTCAATGGGGCCGCGAGGGGGGTGATGGGTAATGTAGTTCCGGTGCCAGGTGATGGCAACCGCCACTGAGCTGGGTGACCCCCTTCTCCCGGGTCCTAGTGCCACCCCGCAGACGTCCTGGTGCCATCTCGGGTGCTGGCTCCAGACCAGGTCCTAATGCCCCTCCGGGTCCAATTCTCTCCTAGTGCTCGCCTCCATGTCTTAATGCCCGCCCCCAGGTCCTGGTGCCATCCCAGGCCCTGGTGCCCCCCTCCCCAAATTCCGAGTGCACCCCTGGATCCCATTCCCCCGCCCAGACCCTGATTCCCCCCGGATCGCGGTGTTCCCACAGATCCTCTAACCTGATTCCGCACTCCCCACCAGGTCCCAGTGCCTCCTGTCCCCCCAGTCCCGTTCCCAGGGGGACACCCCCAAAGCCAGGCCACCATCGGCCCCTTTAAGGGGGCGGGGCCAGGGGTGGGACGCCCCCGGGGGCGGAGTGGAGGCGGTCATGTGGGTGATGTCACTGAGGGGGCGTGGCTACATGTGAGTCCCAATGGAGACGTGGTTTATAATGTGATGTCATAAAGGGGCGTGGTCATGTGTGCTCCCCTAGGCGTGGCCATATGTTCTGCGTCACGAGGGGCGTGTCCCTCTCTGTACCCCCCCAGGGGAGCGTGGCCAGCCGTGTGACTTCCTCGGAGTGGGCGTGGTCTGAAAGGTGACGTCACCTCAGCGTTGTTCCCCCCCCCCCGACCGCTTCACCCTGCTGCGGGGGTGTGACGTCACATCAAAGGTGTCACCGAGGGGGTGCGGCCGGACGAGTGACATGCGGCGTAGCCCTGTGTATGACGTCACGGCTATGGGCGTATCCCTGTAAGAGTCTCGCCATGGGGGCGCGGTCATGGTTGCTACACCCCGTGAGGAGAGGGGCGTGTCTCTGTGTGACGTAACCGCGGAGGGCGTGGCCTTTTCCCTCTGGTCGCTGTGGTCTGCTGGGTCGTGTTATGCTCGTGACATCACCCATAGGCGTGACCGCATTAACCCCTCCGGGGCGTGCCCAAAATGACGTCACCTATTTTGGGGGGCGTGGCCCAGCGCGCCGCTCTCCGGGGAGGGGGCGGGGCCGCCGTTCGCCGGGTGGGCGTGGCCGCCTGGCGTGACATCACCGCGTGGGCGCGTCCACCGTGCGTGACGCTCCCGCCAGTGCCCAACATGGCGGCGGGCGGCGGCGGCGGCGGGAGCGCCGGCGGCTGTGGGGGGACCCCGCTATCCCCGGGCCCGTTGCTGCCGCCGCTGCTGCTGCTGCTGGCGCTGCCCGGCGGCGCCGTGCCCGCGGCCGACACCGTAGTGCTGGGGCTGCGGCTGGAGGAGAGCACGAAGCCCGCAGCGGCGGCTGCGGCGGCGGCGGCGGCGGAGGGGGCGGCCCGCGGGCCCATCCGCCTCACGGAGGGTAGCGAGGCGCTGCTGCGGCTCTACGGGCTGGGGCTGGGCCCGCGGGCCGCCGAGCGCGTGGCCTTCGCCGAGCTGCGGCCGGGCGGCAACGCCTCGAGCGGCAACGCCACGTGCCAGGAGCGCTCGCAGGACCTGGTGGTGCGGCCGGGCCCCGCCGAGCCCCGCGACACCTCGGCGCTGCTGAGGGTGTGGGTGCAGCCGCTGCGCAAGGACGAGCGCGCCAAGACCTACGTGCTGTGCTCGCAGCGCCGGCCCGGCCTGCCCTGGCTGCCGCACCAGGGGCCGGACGGGCACGTGGTGGTGCTGGAGGAGAAGAAGTCGCTGCTGCCGCTGTGGCTGCAGGTGATCCTGATCGCGGGGCTGCTGGTGCTGTCGGGGATGTTCAGCGGCCTCAACCTGGGTTTGATGGCGCTGGACCCCATGGAGCTGCGCATCGTGCAGAACTGCGGCACCGACAAGGAGAAGCGCTACGCCCGCAGGATCGAGCCCATCCGCAGGAAAGGGAATTACCTGCTCTGCTCGCTGCTGCTGGGCAACGTGCTGGTCAACACCACGCTCACCATCCTGCTGGACGACCTCATCGGCTCCGGCATCGGCGCCGTGGTGGCCTCCACCATCGGCATCGTCATCTTCGGGGAGATCGTGCCGCAGGCGCTCTGCTCGCGGCATGGGCTGGCCGTGGGCGCCAACACCATCGTGGTCACCAAGTTCTTCATGCTGGTGACGTTCCCGCTGTCCTACCCCATCAGCAAACTCCTGGACTGCATCCTGGGCCAGGAGATCGGCACCGTCTACAACCGGGAGAAGCTGGTGGAGATGCTGAAGGTGACGGAGCCCTACAACGACCTGGTGAGGGAGGAGCTCAACATGATCCAGGGAGCGCTGGAGCTGCGCACCAAGACGGTGGAGGACGTGATGACCCCGCTGCAGAACTGCTTCATGATCAACAGCGACGCCATCCTGGACTTCAACACCATGTCCGAGATCATGGAGAGCGGCTACACCCGCATCCCTGTCTACGAGGACGAGAGGTCCAACATCATGGACATCCTCTACGTCAAGGACCTGGCCTTCGTGGACCCTGACGACTGCACGCCCCTCAAGACCATCACCAAGTTCTACAACCACCCCGTGCACGTCGTCTTCCACGACACCAAGCTGGACGCCATGCTGGAGGAGTTCAAAAAGGGTGAGGAGGGGGCGTGGAGGTGCTGCTTGCTTCCTTTTGGCTGGGAGCAAAATTCCAGGGGGGTTTTGCTCTCCAGAGCTGGAGCTGCCCATGCCAGGGGTCTCAGGAGTGGCCACGATGCCAAGAGAATGAGTGACACACATCGGGGACGGGCATGGGGTCACCAAACTTTAGTCCCGACCCAGATTTCCTGGATTTGGAGCTTTCCCATGCCGGGAATGTTCCCTTGCTCCTTGTTTTTAATGATTAGCCCCGGAGACTTTTGGAGAAGTGCTGGAAAATCTCTGAGCGCCTTAATTTGGGTTTGGCTCCCTCCTCCGGGCTTTGCCCTGGAGCTCGGAGCCGGCTCCATCCCAGCTCTGCTTCCCAAAAAACGGGAGCAGGACGAGTAAGAATGGGATACGGGCTGGCTGTGGGAAGCTCCGAGGTGGGATTTGCCCTTGCCAGGGTCTTTTCCCAAGGTTTTCCAGCTCCTGCGTCAGGCCGGGATGAAGGAAAGCTCCCGGCTGTGGAGCAGCTGTGACCCCGCGGCTCCCGTTACGCTCCCGGGAGGCTCGCACAGAGCTTTGTGCGACATTCCAGGGACATTTAGGGATTCCTAAACCCCTGCTGCAGGCAGGAGCCGGGTGAAGATTTGGGAGATGCTGGCTGGGGCTGTGCCATTCCCATCCCCGTTCCCAAAAGCAGTGCATGGATGCAGAGTTGCTGCTGGGGCTGGAGTTATCCCGGCTTTCCCTGGCCGGATCCTGATTAAGGGATTTAACCTCCCTCCTTCCTTCCGGCCACAAAGCCTGGGGCTGTTTTCTTTTTTTTCTTTTTCCACCGCCGGCTCAGGAGCTGGGAATTTGCAGGGCTGGGTTTTGGAGGTGAGCCCCACAAATTCCCGGCTCAGAGGAATTTGTGGGGCTGGGTTTTGGGAGGCAAATTCCTCGTGGATTTGAGACCTCATTGCCCCGGTCAGGACCTGGATCAGAGGCAGGAGATGCATCCAGAGGGAATAATTAGCTGGCTGTGCTAATTGTGGGGTTTGAGCTCTGCTCAGGGCCATGAAAATGTCACAGTGGTGCCTTTGAGGTGGCAATTCCCACATCCAGAGTCTTCCTGACCCAGCACGAGGCTCTGAGTGGGGAATTTTCCTCTGGAGCAGGGCTGGGAGAGCTGGGAATGTCCAGTCTGGAGAAGGGAGGGATCCAGGGAGAGCTCAGAGCCCTAAAGGGGTTCCAGGAGAGCTGGAGAGGGATTGGGATAAGGGATGGAGGGACAGGACACAGGGAATGGCTTCAAATGGAAAAATGGAGATTTTAATGGGATTTTAGGAAGGTGAGGAGGGGCTGGGATGGAATTCCCAGAGGAGCTGTGGCTGCCTCTGGATCCCTGGGAGCGTCCCCAAGGCCAGGCTGGAGCCACCAGGGATGTCCCTGCCATGGTGGCACTGGATGAGCTTTAAGGTCCCTTCCAACCCAGACCATTCCATGGTCCCACGTGCTGGTTTAGATGGGATTTTGGGCAGGAATTCCTGGCTGGGAGGGTGAGGAGGGGTGGGATGGAATTCCCAGAGGAGCTGTGGCTGCCCCTGGATCCCTGGAAGTGTCCCCAAGGCCACCAGGGACAGGGGGAGGTTTATGGGGTGGGACGGGATGAGCCCTAAAGTCCCTCCCAACCACTGCAGAATTCCACAGGGAGCTCTGCTGTCCCCCAGGATGGCTCTGGGGACACTGACAGGGTTTGGAACCTCCAGAATCTCCTGTTGCCAGGAGGGCAAATCCAACCCTGGGATCCCTGGAAGTGTCCCCAAGGCCACCAGGGACAGTGGGAGCTGTCCCTGCCCATGGAGCCCTAAGATCCCTCCAGGCCACTCCATCATTCCATGGACACCCCATGGACGCCTCCCTGTCCCTCTGGGTGTTCTCCCCCTCCTCATTTGGGGGTCCTGGCCTGTGTCCCCCCCTCAGTGACCCCAGCCCAGCCTGTCTGGCCGTGTTTGCTCAGCCTCAGCCACTCCCTGTGCTCATCCCTGACTCACCTGGGTGCCTCACCTGGCCCCACCCAGGTGGCCATAAAGGGGGTGAGGTGGCCCCAACAACAACCCCAGGATAAAATCATTTTTCACCCCTCCAGGCACCACCTTTTCCCATCATTGGGTTGAGAGAGGAGGAAAAAGGGGAAATAAAATAATTTTTTCACCCCTTCAGGTACCACCTTTTCCCAGTGCTGTGACTCAGGGAAGAGGAAAAAGGGGAAATGAAATAATTTTTTATCCCCTTCAGGCACCACCTTTT